CTTTAATCCTGCTCTGCTAATCAATAAGATCATGGCCAATCTGGTTTTAACCTCAACTCTACATTCCTGCATATCCCTGATACTCTTTCATCCCCTTTGGTCATCAACATATGATTTACCTCTGCCTTAAAAAACATTAAAGAGTCTGCATCCACTGCCTTTTCAGGAAGAGAATTTCAGAGACTCACAAATCTTTGAGAGACTTTTTTTCTGTCTTAAATGGGCATCCCTTTATTTTCAAACTATGATCCCTCATTCTAGACTCTTCCACAGTGGAAACTTCCTTTCCACATCCATTTGGTTAAGTCCCCTCAGGATCTTTCAGTTAAGTCACCTCTGACTCTTCTACACTCCAGAGGCTACAGGCTTACCCTGTCTAGTCTTTCCCCATGATGCAATCTGCAGGAGAGGTGATGTGTTGCTGCTGTGGCATTTAGAAGCTGCTGGGCAACAAGATGATCCAGACCCATCAGACCTGCCCAAGCATATGCAGCTCGAGGAACTTCGGAATCAATTTGAAGAGCTGAAACTCAACAGCTGGCACTGCCGACAATGATTACTTCTCAAAAATGCATGATTGATGAAGTGAGAATGGGAAGAGTTTTGATGTTGGTGTCTATTGCTTACTCAATCCCATAGGAAGAATTGTTAGTTGAAGGAAACGCCAGTGGTTACCCAGAAATTCAGCCAAAGCACCCCTGTGAGAAGCACAGGATGCCATTTCCAATACAATGGGAAAATCTCTATATTGGTAATCCCAGATTTGCTCTCGGACTCCTGCTACGCACCTCCCTTGCCTACCTCTCTCACCTGCAAGTAGATGACGTGTCTCCAGTTGTACCTCACTGGTACTCATCCACCAGCTATGAGGAGGATTGGAGGGAAATGGTTGTGCCAATTGTGGCTGGCAAGAGAAAAGAGGTCTTCAAATCTCCTGCAGCCTGATAGATTGTGCTCAGCAAGACTTGGGAATATTGGGACATAGGAGAAAGAGTAGGCCATTCAATCTTCAATCCCGTTCTGCCATTCAGTGGCTGATATGTGGCCTACCTCCATATACCTGTCATTGGCCCATATCCCTTAATACTTTGGCTTAACAAAAAGTTATCAATCTCAGATTTAAAACTAACAACTGATCTAGCATCAACTGCCATTTGTGGAAGAGAGGTCCACACCTCTGCCATCCTTTGTGTTTGGAAGTGCTCCCTAACAAATCTCCTGAATGGTCTGGCCCTAATTCTTCCTTCTTTCTGCTACAATCCCCCCCAGCCCCCTGTTCTGACCACCTCACCTGTCCCACTTCACCTGCCTGAGCAGAATCAGATGTCACCTTGGCATCTGGCAGCACTAATAAGATCTTGCCTCATTCCCCAGAAGAAAACCCAGAACTTTAAGGTTGAGACCCGATAAATTCTTGATCAATAGGGAAATCAAGTGGAATAGGCAGGAAAGAGGCTGTGAGGAATGTTGGGTCAGCCATGATCCTATTCAATGATGGAGCAGGCTCGAGGGGCCGAATGGCCTACTCCTGTTTCTATTTCTTATGGACATAATCCAGGGGGCCAATAAAACATTGCACGCTTCAGGAACTCCAACTGGAGATTTTATAACAGGCAGGGAGGTGGTGATTAGGGATGGAGAGGGTGGTCTTCAGTTTTTTTTTACTGGTGTGAAGGAGCAGAAGGGAAGACCAGGTCCCCACAAACTAATGGGTAGACCATGCTAAGCATGTGTTTGGAAAGCAGATAGTCGAAAAGATGAGAGAGACACAGGTAGCAGGTTTTCTTATTTCAGGTTTTCTCAGCGAAGAAGAGAACATGTGTCAGCACATTTGAAAAGGAAGGTACTTAAGATTTTGGATGATGAAACCTCTTCGCAACTGGCACAAGTGGAAAACATTTTTACATGATAATAAACACATAGAGGGAGGGAGGGGGTGGTACTGAGCAACTGGCAAAACTGACAAGTATGTAAACTCATTTTAAGGAAGTATTCAGAACAATGTAATAATCTGCAACCATGTAAAACATCCTTTTAACTGTTACTACTGCATCTAGCTGCATGAAGGCTCTTGCTGCATTATTAGATTGTTCCCCCGTTTCTGCCAAGATGTCCACAATGTATCTCTGTATTTGGCTGTCAATTAAACATCTTTCTGCCTTTTCTTTCCTTCTGCTGCGCAACAAGCAAAACGTATCAGTTACATTTGCAAGCAAAACCAACATAACCAATCTGTGACCTTATTCTTATATGTGAGATCTTGCCACCTGCAGGCTGATTGCCTGAGTAACATCAGTGACCACTTCCTGGCCTGTGGAGATGATGAGAAATGTGGCCAGCTGCCTTTAGCAATAGATAGCGGACAGGGACCTCAGCTCATGTAGTGGTTGCTGAGCACAGATCACCAGCAGACTTCTCCTGAATCAGTTTATGCTCAATTACTCACGGTGGATCCAGGTCTGACATCTCAAGTTTAATTTCACATCCGTGTATTCAAATCCCTCCATATCTTTGTAACCTTCTCCGAGCCCATGACAGTCAGATCATGGTGCACCTTCAATTCTGGCAGCCTGTTCTTCCCCAACGTCCCATTGCCTCACAATGGGTTCTCCTAATTAGATCCTAACATCAGGAATCCTCCCTCTATCTCTCCCTCTTTCTTCAAAACCAAGCCTTTTTTCAAAGTTTAGTTCACTTGTCCCTTTTTGGAACTCAGAGTCAAATTTTGTTTAACAATCTTTGCAATGAAGACCTTGAAATACTTTACTACATTGACGTTGTTATGTAAGGATGGCTCAGTGGTTAGCACTGCTGCCTCACAGCACCAGGGACCCGGGTTTGATTCTAGCCTCTATCTGTGTGGTGTTTGTACATTCTCCTCATGTCTGCGTGTGTTTCCTCTGGGTGCTCCAGTTTCCTTCCACACTCCAAAGATGTGCAGGTTAGGTGGATTGGAGATGCTAAATTGCCCATAGTGTCCAAGGATGTGCATGCCAGGTGGATTAGCCATGCGAAATGTAGCGTTACGGTGATAAGGTAGGGGGTGAAATACCCTTCAGAGGGTTAGCATGGACTTGATGGACCACATGGCCTGCTTCCACACTGTAGGGATTCTATTTTTGTGACCATTACTATATTAAAGGTGTTTTCTAAATACATGCACTTTTTCGTAACAACTGTATTTTCTTGGATTTAAAGAACCTCCTGAGAATCTGACATTGCATTTTACAAATGAAAGATACTTTTTTCTCCCCCTGCTGTTATTCCTCTATACCTCTAATTGCTTCCTTTTATTCCTTAAGTACTAGCATGCTAGGCTTAGTGGAAATAACAGGCTGTGGAACTGTATTTAAGTATCTTGCGGAAAATGCATTAAAGGAACCCTTTGTTGGGGGTGTCCCCTGTCCTGTGGAGGTGGTAGTCATTGGATGGGTTGAGATTTGAAACTTTCCACAACCAACTGGAAGCACAGTGCATGGAATTAGTTTAATAAATCCACAATCGGAGTTGTTGCTGCAGTGGTTTTGCAGCAGGATTAAGGTAAGAATGCTACCCTGGGGGTCTGCTTATGTTAATAAATGGTGATGGTCTTGACACCATCTCAACTCTTGAATCGAATTATTCCTGTGTGGTGAGTGGTCAGCCACCTTTTAAACTCAGTGCCTTACTCCAGGCCCTCTGCTAACTTTAGTTCTACATCTCTGCCTTGTCTCTGTCTAGAATTCTGTGGAGCATTTCTGCTGTCTTATCTGGTTACTCACCTTGTTTTGAGACCAGCTTGTGCTGGCCATTCGACTGGTGATGAGAATTACATCTGACTCTCATATGTTCCCTCACTCAACATCTACTCACTCAACAGCAGAAGTGGCTCAATTTTGATTGGGAGTGAGAATGGTTCTTGATCTTTAGATGCGAATTAGGAGCATAAGACCAGAAGACATACAAGCAGAAATTAGGCCATTCGGCCCATCGAGTCTGCCTCGCCACTCAACCACGGCCAACAAGTTCCCCAACCCCATTCTCTCGCTTTCTCCCCATTACCTTTGATCCCCTTGATAATCAAGAACCTATCTATCTCTGTCTTAAACGTACTCAATGACCTGGCCTCCACAGTCTTCTGTGGCAGTGAATTCCATAGATTCACCACTCTCTGGCTGAAGAAGTTTCTCCTTATCTCCGTTCTAAAAGGTCTTCTCTTTACTCTAAGGCAGTGCCCTTGGGTCCTAGTCTCTCCTACCAATGGAAGCATCTTCCCAACATCCACTCTGTCCAGGCCATTCAGTAAGTAGAGTATTCAGCTCCTCAAGTCTACTCCACTGTTCGATTAGACGGGTCTGCATTTTGAATTCCACACTCCCATCTACCCCTGGCAATCTTTGATTTCCTGCCAAAAGAAGAACAGTCTACATCTGATTTAAAAGTATTCAATGACCCCTCTGCCTGTAAAAGAGTTGGGTGATGGTGGGGTAGTAGGAAAGGGGAAGTGAAGAAGCTAGTGAATGCAAAGGGAAGGGGAGGAAGGCTACTACTGGGAGCCTGTGAACCAAGGAGCTTACTTGAAGCCATAAAAAGCTGAAGCTTCAGGGAATTATTTCACAGAATTCATTCACATGACAGTGTGGAAGCAGGCTATTCAGCCCATTGAGTCCACACCAACCTTCCAAAGAGCATCCCGTCCAGACCCAACCCTGAATTTCCTATGGTTAATCCACCCAGCCTGCACACCATGGACAATTTAACACAGCCAACCCACCTAATCTGCACATCCTTGAACTGCAGGAGTTTGATTTTTTTGTGATCTTTATGTGATCACAAAAAAAACACAAAAACTCAATCTGTGATCACAAATACCGAAAGTAATGATACAATGTGGCTGTGTTCCTCAGTGATGGAATCTGTGAGAATCATAAAGTAGCTCCCGAAAACAAGGTGGCCCTTGAGAAACCTCGAGAAGAGCCCTCAAAAATTATTACTATGGCCTCTGTTCCTCTCCTTCCTAGGAGACACTCTGCACCTCCAGTGAGTGGAGAAGTTGCCACCCAACAGGAGCTGGATAAATTGATACAGTCTGGGGAGGTAAGTGTTCATTACTTTTTGGCTTTTGTTTATATAAGTACCATGAATGAGATGTCATCTACTATCTCTTTCTATACTATAAAAAGCAACACGCATTTGCCCGAAGCCTTATCCAAATCAAGGCACAGATTCTGCCACACATATAAATCTTTATTCTCTTTCCATAGTGTTGCCAACATAACCCTAAACCTAACCCTAACCCTAAGCCTAACCCTAACCCTAACCCTGTGGTCCACCGTATGAATTTTCAGTGAAATACAAATCCGGCGCAACACAATTCTTAATGTTGGCCCTTAATTTAACTCTATATGTTTCTTCAATTTTCACAATTTTGTGCCCTGGCCATCACTGCCAACTTTGTTGTATTAACCCCTTCTTTCCAGAAAGGAAGTTGTGGGTTTTCAGTAAAGGGACTTCTGCATTTAGTTTCACTGACACCTCAATGAGAGCACACCACATTGTCAGATGAGCCGTCTTTTGAACGAAGCATTAAGGTGGGGTCTACTAGTGTGGTTTTGTTGGATGCAAAAGATCCTAAAACATTATTCCAAGAAAAACAAGTCTTCTCCTGGATGTCATTTCTCCCCTCAGCAACACTAGAAATATAAACAAGATTTAACTGTGCACCCATCCCATGTGTTGTGGCATCTTACAGTGCGAAAATTGTTTTATATTTTTGTTATTTCAAAACTATGCTTTATTCATAAAAATATGTTTATTTACATAGTCACTGGAGCAGTTTGATTCTGTACACAGTTTTTAACCTACGTAGAACAAACAAACCCAAGGCATTTCTTACCTCTCCAGGACTATATTTACATGCAGTTGAGGTGCCGGGAGGGTCCGATAACTGAATAAATCCCCCTCTAACTTCAGCAGAAAGACCTCAGACAGTGGTCTTTCTCCACTGTACTTTGGCAGCAGTTGCCCCAAGTTTTAGTACATCCCTCAACATGTAGTCCTGGACCTTGGTACGTGCCAGTCTGCAACACTTGGTCGAAGTCAACTCCTTGCTCTGGAAGAGTAAAAAGTTTTTGGTAGACCAAAGAGCATCTTTCACCGAATTGATGGTCCTCCAGGTGCTGTTGGTATTTGTCTTGGGGTGCATCCTCGGGAGCAGGCTGTAGAGCACAGAGTCCCATGTCACAGAGCTGCTCAGGATAAACCTCAATGAAAACTACTGCACCTTTCTCCAGACTTCCCTTGCAAAGACACAGCCCAGCAAGAGATGTGTGACAGTCTCTAACTTCCCCCCACAGCCGCTTCGCGGGCAGCATGCGGTGATGCAGAGAGTCTGGGCATACAAGAAAGATCTCACAGGTAGTGCCCTTCTCACCACCAGCCAAGCGATGCCTTGGTGCTTGTTGGAAAGTTCTGATGATGAGGCATTCTGCCAAATGACTGACAGTCTGCTCAGGGAATAACCCAAGAGGATCTACTCTCTCCTTTTCATGGAAGATCTCGAGGACTCTACATGCTGATCATTTCCTGTTGGACTTGTGGACAAAGGTGTTTCTCTTTGCAAATTACTCCATGAAGGACAGGTGATACAGAAAGGGCCAAATACATGGAGATTACCATGGCACCGAGACCAGTCCCATCCTTTGCAACAGCAGGGACAGGTAGAACCTCAGTACGTGGTGACACTTGGTGTTTGTGTAACAAGGCACAGCTTGATGCAGCCACACAGAAAGGTGGCCACCAGGATGAGGGCAGCATTGGGTACGTTCTTCCCCCTGCTTATTCAGACCTTTGTACATGGAGTCCCTGCAGACATGGTCCATCTTAGATCTCCAGATGAATTAGAAGACAGCTTGGGTGACTACAATGGCACAAGTTCAGGGAATGGGCCAGAACTGTGCCACATATGACAACAGAGACACCACCTCACAACTGATGACCAGGTTTTTACCTGCAATGGAGAGGGAGTAGTGTTCCCATCTACCTAATTTCTGCCTCACCTTGGCAACACACTCCTATCAAGTTTTTGCACATGCCCTGGCCTCTCCAAACCATATTCCCAGCACCTTCAGATAATCTGTCCTGACAATGAAGTGAATAAAGGATCATTTGGGCCTGTTTGAAAGAAATAGCCTCACTCTTGCCTCAATTTACTTGGCTCCTGAGACAAGTTTGAACAGATCACAGATGCTCATGAGTCTGCGCACTGGCAGAGGATCTGAGCAGAAAGCGGTGACATTAGCCACATTTGGGGAGGCTTTGACCTGCAGGCCTCTGCTACCTGGAACTGTCACCCTTCTCAGGCTTGCATCCTTCCTGATGGATTCAGCAAAGGGATCTATACAACACACAAACAAGACAGGAGAGATTGGACAGCCCTGCCTGGCTCCAGATCTAATTGGGAAGCATTTTGATTCCTACCCATTGATTGAGACTGTATTAATGATGTTAGTGTAGAGCAGTCCACTCTAATAGTGGATTGCCTTTACAAAGCCCATTTTGGAGACCATGTCCCAAATGTAGTTGTGCGATATTCTGTCAAAGGCCGTCTTCTGGTCAGGGCTGAGGAGTCAGATGTACACCCTCCCTGTTCCCCATGTAGGCGATGGTATTCCTGAGGAACGTGAGGCTCAGAGACCGTCCTGCCTAGTATGGTGCAGGTTTAGTGAGGGTGAATCACCGATCCCAGAGCAAACCTGACCCGGTTGGAAATGACCTTAGACAGGATTCTGTAATCCACATTTACAGTGAAATTGGTCACCAATTTCTAATTCACTCCTTCTCCCACTTCTGCTTGTAGATGAGGGTGATGATACCTTTCCTCATGGATTCGCACATGGTACCTGCCAGAAACATACTGTCACACACCTCCAGCAGGTCCTGGCCAATCAAGTCCCACAGAGCCGAATACAGCTCGGCCCGTAAGCCATCGCTTCTGGGAGCTTTATTCTTTTCTAAGGACTCGAGGGCCTTGGTCAGCCCATCCAGAGATAACAGCTGGTCCAGTCTCTCCTGCGTGCAGTCATCCAGGACCTCCGTGATGGAGGACAGGAATGACTGGGAGGTCACACTGTCTGTGGTCTTTGTGTCATATAGTCTGGCGTAAAAGGATTTGCTGATCCTCAGGATGTTATTCTGAGGTGACGTCACCAAACTGTCTAGTTCTTTGGGATGCTGAGCAGAGAGTGCTCTTCTGGAACCCTGTGCACCTTCTAGAAGAAAAAACACGAGACCCCCGTTTCATTCCACACCACAGTGCAGACCCTGGATAGGAAGATTATCTGAGAGGCCTCCGAGGCAAAGAACGAGACTTGCTGGCTCTTCACCTCCTGGCAATCCTCTGTGACATTAACCCCCATCGTCTGCAGCAGGAGTAGGTTCTGCATGTTTTTTCTGGAGTTTGGACAGTTTTCCCCATCTGTCTCTCACCTTCTGAACATCTTTGAGGATAAAGAACCCCTTGATGTGCCCCTTGACTGATGGAGACTCAAAGAGGGGTTCCATGGTTCTCCAACCTGTGAAATCCCTTTTCAGCACCACAATGTTTTCTAGGGCCGACCGTTTCATGTTCAGCTTCCACGTTCCCTTGCTGGCCTGCTGGTCGTCCTGTAGGTGGCATTCGGCCAGCCTGCGGCAGTGGTCAGAGAAGAACACCGGCTTGACGTTGGTTGATCTGGCTGAGGACATTCGGATCGCAAACAGGAAGTCTATCCTTGAGCTGATAGACCTGTCTCACTGTGACCAGGCATATCTACACTGTGCTCCGTCTGCAGGGGTGCTGAAGACATCATGCAGCTTGGCAACTTTAACTGTTTCCATCAGGAATCTCGACATGGCGTCTGTTTTACTGTCAGTCGCTCTGGACCATCTATCTGTATCGATGATGTAGTTGAAGGCTCCGGCCAGATTGACCGGCCTGGACATCGCCAGCAGCAGTGCGAGCCGGCCTCTGAGTCTTTACCATTGAATGTAGATGTTAATTAGTCTCATGAGAACGTTCCTGTGCATAATGTCCGCCACAAGGGGGTGCCTGCCCCACCACCTCCTTAACCGCAGAGATGGTGAAGTTGCCTCATCACAGCAAAATACCCAGGCGTGAAGATTAGCAATTGTTACCTCCCAACCAAATAGAACGCCCGTGGCTCCACAAGCTTGACCATTTCCTGTAGCTGCTGAGGTGTGGTATCCCACAGTCCTGCAAATACAGGAGGTTCACTTTGATGTTAGCCAGGTAAGCCAACGTGGAAAAGCATTGCATGGTAAATTTAACGCGACACATACTAATGCTGGTAATTTTAAAACCCATTTTGAGAGTTTGTAGAATTACCCATAGACCCAACATCCATTCACCCACAGCCTTGTCACTGGGGGAAGTCCTTGCATCCCCATGGTGCGGGCGAGCTGTTGGACACTCCCATTGCTGAGGTAGCCATCCTGTTCCTCCCTGGGGGCATTGACCTGATCCAGCGTCATTTGTGCAAGGAAAAAAACCCAGGAAGTTCCAGTTCAGACTCCAAGATGACTATATGATCTGGGACGTGTTATTTCTCGGGCTTCCTTGCCTTCGGAAGACCTTCCTTAATATACACATTTTACAAGCCATTCCCATTACTATCAGCTTGCCTCAATTGGTTGTACTCTTACCTTTGAGTTAGTAGGTCACGGGTTTGATTCCACATTGCCAATACAGAGTTCACCAATTGGAGAATGCCAGGCACAAACTGTGCCCCATCATATCAATTTAAATAATTTTACAGGATAGGCTGCTGTAACCTGCAATGAGAAAATTTGACAAAACCACTCTGTAAAAGTAAATATTAGATTTGTGTGCTTTCAGAATGGTGCACTGAAATTGACTCTTTGTTCAAACCATTTAATTGGATTATCTCTCCAATCTATTTGTCTTTCAGAATCAATTTTCTGCAAATGACCCTTTATTGGAGAGCCAGTTAGAAGAATTATCGAAGGTAAGGTGATCTTAAAAAGGTTCTGCCTCACTTTCTTATTTACTTCCGAAACATTTGTTGTGAATAAACCTAAAATCTCACTTTGAAGTCCCTTCAAAGTGCCTGAGTTGAATTCCCTCTCTAAGCTGACAGCTTGGCCTTAGTGTTGTGGTTTAAAAGCTTTTTATTAGATCGCAATTTCTGACAGCCTTCCTCTATGGGGAGGACACTCTAAAGGCAAAACGGAGAAATTTGACAAATTCCAGACCCGAAATAATTTTGAAGTCTTAGTTTTTGAAAGACCAAGGAAGTAACTCTCCTTTATACTGTTTATCAAAGTAGTTCAAGAATCAAACTGGGAGAGACTAACCTTGAAACATTTCCCGTAAGATAGGTAAAAAGTGTATGAAACTTTAAGATAATAATCAAGAATGCAGACAGTCATTTTGTCATATTGTATTATATTCTGTCACTGTGTGCTCTGTCTAATGAACATTAATTCCAGTGATAAAGTGCCACATAAAGGCTTGCTGGTGAAATTGAAGGCCATTGATTTGGAGGGAAACTAGCAGCATGAATACAAAATTGGCTGAGTGACAGGAAATCGAAAGTAGTGATGCATGTTTATTTTTGAGTCTAGCAGAAGGTATGAATTGATCAAGGATTGTTTTGTTAAAGTCTATATCAATGACGCCACCTCTTTCAGGTATTTCAAAATGTGCAGATGACTCAAAACTTAGAAACACTTTGAGTGGAAAGAGGACAGTGACAAACCTTAAGAAGACAGAGGTGGCTATTTGAATGGGATGACAGGTGAAATTTAGCACGGAGAAGGCTGAAGACATAGATTTTGGTGGAAAGACTGAGGAAAGTCAGGATAGAAAATGGGTGTGTTCCGAAGGGGCAGTAGGAGCAGAGGAAGCTAGGGTTTAGTTACACAAGTTATTGAAGATGTCAGGCCTGTTTTGATTAAGAAGGTATATTGGATCCTGGCCTTTATTAGGAGAGATATAGGGTTCTAAATCAACAAAGTTATTGTGTGGAACATGGCAAAGTCTGCCCCTCTGTCAGCATAGAATACATTGTGGTTGGGTTAACCGGAACCCTCTGAGATGCCCTAAGTATATTACATTCACTGTCACCACTCTTTATTATTAGTAACAGTCTAAGTTACTGATATCAAGTAGCAATGGATGACCACATTAACACTTCAGATTCAATTTTGATAAAAAGTATGTTTTTTAATAGCTCCTAAAAGTAGACCCAGAGGACTGCTCTGTCATTCGAGAGAGATACAACTGGTAGTGGTGAATTAACCAACAGGTCACTAGCTTCAGGTACAAGGCAAGATTGAGGTCAGATTCTTCATGGTAACCTTAGCTGCCACAGGAATTGAACCCATGCTGTTGGAATCACTTTGCATTGCAAACCTGCCTTTCAGCCAACTGAGCTAACCACTTTATGGGAATAAACTGAATCAGAGATAGTAGGAACTGCAGATGCTGGAGAATCCGAGACAACAA